ACGACTCCGAACGGACGCGCGGACGGACAGAGACCGAATTATAAGTCCCCGTTTTCGGACTTCGTCCGAATGGGGACTTATTAAAGAACTGAAGATATAATTAGAAAATGAACAATATGTATAGTATTAAAACAATCGGACTTGCTGTTTTCAACAAGAATTCGAAAATATCACTTTTCACCAAAAATATTCATCAAAATTAGATAATTGAAGATATCATCACGAAATGAATAAATCTGAGAGAGGTCTACCTGAGATACCAATATGTATAGTATCAAAGCAATCAGACTTGCAGTTGAAGTTGAAAATATCGCTTTTTTCCAAAAATATTCACCAAAATTAGAGAATAGAAGATATCATCATGAAATATCATCATGAAATGAACAAGTCATTGTCAATGACACGTCCCCGTTCCGTTCATATTTGAGTGACAGATACATTCAAAGCAGATCATGACCGAAATCTCAGACCACTTTCAGTGGTCTGTTCCGAAATGCACCTGCATATGTAACAACACATTGTACTAAATCTGAACAAAATCCATCCATGCATGACTGAGATCCGGTTCCGAAATTGTAAAAATACGTGATTTTGATGCATTTTCGGCCTTAAAATGGCCATCATTCAGCTATTGTTAAGCGGATCATGAAACAAATGCGCATATCTATTTGTGACATGATGTACCATGTGTGTGTGATGTTTGAACTTGATCAATCCAGACATGTCTCGGATACGGATCCAGAACTGAATTCTTTAAAACAAAATGGCCGCCAGTCGGCCATTTCAAACCCGATCCGAAAAAAAATGACGTGCATCAAGGTCCTATTATGTTTAATGTATGTACCAAATTTGAACAAAATCCGTCCATGCATAACTTAAAAATGGCCGCTATTCGGCTATTGTTAATCGGATCATGAAAAAAATGCATGTGCATATGTCCCATATAATGTGTGATGTATGAGTGATCGGTCCATGCATGTTCGAGATACAGGTGATCACAGACGCACGGACGCACACAGGGCAAAACATATTAGTCAAAACAAAGCATTCAGGCTTGCAGTTTTCAAAAGAGAAGTCGAAAAAGTAAAAAGTTGACACGGACAACGATGACGAATGCTGACGGACAATCACTCATATGATAAGCTCTGCTCGACAAAGTCGTCAGCGGAGCTACAAGGAAATCATCACATAAAACAATAAAATTGCCATGACTGGGCTTGTCTAGGTAATACCTTTAGTACACGAATGAGGGTTCCTCTGTTTTAAATAATATTGTTTAAGTGATCATATTTGGCATGTCCATATCTTCCTCGCCCAATTGCTTGGAATAGGAAGTCGCTGGCAAAGATGTATGCCCAACCATCTTGAATATATCAGGTCATTTGGATTTTTTTTTACAGGTAGATATAAGCCAACAATGAACTGGGGAATTCAATGGCTTCAAGACATTGATTAAAGAGATGGAATCATATACAAGTTTCACTATTTGCAATTATACAACAATCTATTTATAGTTTATACAACACTTACATGCTATCATCTTTCAGGGTCACCAGGTGATCTGAATTTATTGCCTGAATTGCCGTCTCAGCTGTCTGTGTTAATTCTGGCACTGGTACCTCATTCTGTACTTCCTGGTTCTCCGGAGATGTACTCTGGGTCGCAGTCGTGATGTGTTCCACTGATAGTTGAGAATGTATCTGCGATTTTAACATCTAAACAGATTTAAAGTGAACAAGTCATTGACATGATGCAGTCCAAATCATCTAAAGTTTGTGCAAAGTTTGAACCATTTGGCTATTTTGAAACATGTCAGAGATATTTTGAATCCAATCTAAAAAGCAAAGTTAAGTGCATTCTAGATCTAATAATGTCCAATGTATGTCCCAAGTGTGAACAAAATTCACCCATACACCGCTAAAATGTAGTACTGAAAAGACTGAAAGACAGATTTTGATTTTTAGGACTAAAATGGCCACCATTCAGCCATCTTAAAATTACCAATATGAGTGCACAGTGGATGTTTTGTAGTAAAGAATCAACTAACCAATTTTTAGATTAAACTCGTTTTCATTTTAGACCTCAAACCCTTGTGATTTCAGACATGTACTTTTGTAACACTATGGGAATACTCTTCAGATTACCATGGTAAGAACACGCTATTGAATCAGCATATCTTTCATAAATCTTTCTTTTAGAACAAAGTATGTACATAATTTGTTCTTATGGGCAGTTTTGTAATTAACATACACAGGTAAAATATGATAACATAGAAGATCAAACATGATCAGAATTCTAATTGGATCAACCATTTGAACAAAGCTATTTTTTCAACCAAAATTTTGGAGCATTTTTATATGCATATTTCTTTGAACTGAGAACATATGATTTTTATTGGTCTTGATCTGTTTTATAACATTTTAATTTAATCCATGGGATGGTGCAGCATTATTGAATTTTTAATTTCTCATCGCCCCAAATTGATTGGAGTACAGAATAAGTAGTCTTTTGGCCTCATTTGTGATGTCAATGCAGAAATCACTGTAACATAGAACTAACAGTCATAGAACATGGTACACCACATGAAACATCAAATATGAACAAGCAGCCTGTCGGCTGAGATAGCTCCGCTGTTAGCAATGCACATGGCAATTAAAGAACAGAAGATATCATTAGAAAATGAACAAATCTGAGAGAGGTCCACAGGTAGTACCTATATGTATAATATATCAAAGCAATTGGACTTGCGGTTTTCAACAAGAAGTCGAAAATATCACTTTTTACCAAAAATTACAAAAATATTCATCAAAATTAGAGAATTAAAGATATCATTATGAAATGAACAAATCTGAGAGAGGTCCACATGTAGTACCTATATATGTAATATCAAAGCAATTGGACTTGCGGTTTTCAACAAGAAGTCGAAAATATCACTTTTTACCAAAAATTACAAAAATATTCACCAAAATTAGAGAATTAAAG